GGGGGGGGGCGCCCAAATCTAGTCTTGCCTAGGGCAGCACAAAACCTAAATACACCACTGCATGGACCCAGTCTCTGGGTGAGTGCATGTCAAGGTGGACACACTAAGGCTCACTACCGATAAATTAAGGGTGTAAGCAACCATAATAAAGTACTGTTGCCAACAGCTAAGTGGTCTGTTGCTTTACAAGTGCCTTACATGCTTCTATAGGCCATCACTATGTAGGATAGTTATGTCATCATGATAGCCTGGAGAGCCTGCCATTAGCCCGATGTGCCCTCCCAATATCGGATATGTACCTTCAGGTATTCTTGACCTGGCTCTGACTGACAAATCATGCAAAAAAAGAACTTCAGCAACCAATCGGTAGGAAAGCTGCACTGGGCTAGGGATAGCATCACTCTTATTGGTCAGCAATATGGTGGAGGAGGCAGGGCATAGCAGAGTCAATGCCTCAGTTTCATCATGCACTCAGGCTTGGAGACAGGTCACATGGAAGTGGTCTAATTAAACAGATGGAAGTATTTTAGAAATCTGTGATAGGTATCTTCTAAACCAGGGATGAGCAAACTCCGGTTCTCCAGCAGCTACAAATCCAATTAGGTATTGCAAGACTCTGACAGTGACATGCATGACTCCCAGAGCTGATGGGATTTGTAGCTTCACCACAGCTGGATGGCCAGAGTTTGCTTACCATTGCTCTAAGCCAACCACATTGCCATACACTAAAATTCTAAAAACAAAATGGTACAACCGACGTCTATTGTTTTTGTTGAATAGACAGGCAGACTCAACAACCTTCTCACCTTCTAGTAGGCTGATACATGATTGGGTAAAGTACAATTTGCAGTTATTCATTATACTGGTCCTTAGTGAATAAGACAGACAGTCTTCTATTAACAGATTGGGACCACATATTCATTTTATTGAGAAGAAATGGAAACCTTTACCTGACTTCCAAAAGAAATGTTTGCCTTCTTTATCCCCCAAGTCAGCTCTTACGGGAGGCATTAGCAGAGCCACAAACAACAAGTATTTTTGCACGTTTGGCCAGGGATAGAGGCCCAGGGCCTGGTCATGAATGGGATACATCCTGCCTCTGGATATCTTCTCTGTATACCTAGAGGAATAATACAATGTGATAAATATAATTGAATATGTGTGCTAATTACATTATAGAATACAACCAATCCCATACCTCCCAACTGAGAAAGCACGACACATTTCAGCAAATTTAATTAAGCAATGGACAAACCCCTGAAACACCTCCAGTTATGAAGACCAATAGGATTTTAAATGCCAAAATTACTCGTTACAGATGTATATAGATTTTGTTTTTACCATTACATGTCCCTTCCATTGGCATTTCGAGATAGCAAACCAGGTATTTAAGATATAAGATAAATGTTTTGTGCAAAGTATTTAGTACATCAGACCAAAATTGAGGAAGAAAGAGGTATAGAGGGATTTGGTTCCAAAAAGAAGGACAGTCCCTTCAAATGAGGGATAGCTGGGAGGTTTGCAATTCCAATGATTGAGCTTTGTCACATCATACTTGCTTTCTGCAGACCCAGCTGTTCATGGATCTGGGGCCCAGTTTGTCACACTTCCAGGTACTTTCAATTTCTGATTTGAGTACATTGAGAAATATCCATGAAAGTGTTTGCTTAATCTACTGTATCATGTAATCTGTCGCAAAGGGTCACTTTACACAAACTATACCACTCAGCTGAGAGCAGAATTCCAGCAACTGGACCCAGAGGCGAATTTTAACTTAATCCCCTGATAACTGTGGATAATATAAAGCTTTGAACTGCAGACTGAAATTTTAGTTTAATTAAATTAAACCTGTGCTTTGCCCATGTGCGGCAAAACAAAAGCTTCACTTTAATGTCCCTCTCCCCTGTAGCAAATACTCATGTTCTCACCAATGACTCCATATAGCACCCCGGACCAAAGGAAAAAAAATGATTCTCCACCTATATATGGCAGGAATTGTGGATGGATTCCTGTGATGACGGCACTGGCTAGAAAAAGGCTGGAGTGCGGTGCTTCCAGCTGATTTATATAGCGTATTTTGCGCTCCACATGACAGCAGCTGTAGTTAGTGACAGCTGACACAGGTGGCGCTGTGATTACAGCGCCACGGTCTTAGTGATCACACAGAGCAGGGGCTCTATGGTGAGCTCCTATGCCGTGGTCACGGGTCCCCTAGATGAGCGGGGGACCCCGAAAACCATGGACACGATCGCCGTCGCCGCTTGGTTTGATACAAGTGATCTGATTAGATCACTTGAATTAAACGAGCAGCGGCTCCCACTGTACATTTAGCTCTGCTTGTCTGGAGCAGGGCTAAATGTACAAAAAACTACTCGCCCGGTGCCCGAAACTGCATATCCCGGGTGCCGGGCGATAGGGATTCGCTCCATAAGATGCTCACACATTTTCCCCCGCCTTTTGGGGGGAAATCCGAGAGTGTGTTCGTAATAAGTCCAATTTGTTTGTAAGTCCAACAAAGTTAGCGTAGGTCTCCAGATACTACATATGATGCTTTTACACTTGCTTTTCGGACAACCTAGGCTTAAAAAAAAAGATACTGTACCACTGTACTCTATACAGTACTGTACAGTAAATTACACAAAAGCACACACACATGACAATGTATGCCAGACACGTGAACTAACTTACATGACTAGACATGCGAGCGTATGTTCGTATCTTTGACAGTTCACAACTTGAATGTTTGTTTGTAGGGGACTTGCTGTTTATAGTGGCGTTACAAGAGAGGTGCAAACTGGTGACACCATCATAGAGGGTGATACCAAAATGACTGGCAGCCATTAAAGGAGAACTATGGGGTTAAGGCTTTTCCCCATAGTTCTCCTTAGGGTAACGTGAGGACACAAACTAGCGTCCTCCCGTCACCCTAAGCTCAGTATGCTACTGCTCGTGGTATACTGAGACGCCGCAGCTGAAGCGGATCCCGACAATTATGTCTGGATCCGCCCAGCTGCGTGAGCGACAGCTGGCTCTGCCTATCTAGAGGCAGAGCCAGCTGTACCCACCCCCTCCCCTCACCTCATAGTTCTCCTTTAATCTCACGTTTAGTTTACTAGTTAGCATTGAGATTGTAGTCCAACACAGGAGGGAGCTTGGAGCAGTGGCTACTCTACAACACACGCAAGCACCATGGGGACCATGGTCCTTCCCCAACGGAGAGCAAGGGACACATAGAAAGAAGATACACTTTTGTTAGGGTACTTGAATGCCTTTTTAAGAGATAACTCCTGAGTTGAGTGTCACTTTAATACTTCACGTTATTACACCTAAAACAGGACACAGCACTCTCCTTGACAAAAGTTCCATCATTCTATTTCCCCGTATGTCTATTATTTCTTATGCATCATGCAAGGTCAGCATCTACAGCTAAGACTCGGACCCAGGGCTTATGCGAATATGTTAATCCTAGCGCCTGCAAGGTATTATTTTATGTTCTTTTCCTTAAAGGAGAACTATGGGGTTAAGGCTTTTCTCCATAGTTCTCCTTAAGGTAATGGGAGGACACAAACTAGCGTCCTCCTGTCACCCTAAGCTCAGTATACCGCGAGCTGCAGCTCGCGGTATACTGAGACGCCACAGCTGAAGCGGATCCCGACAATTATGCCGGGATCCGCCCAGCTGCGTGAGCAGTGGCGTCGCTACAGGGGGGAAAGGGGGGGCAATAGGCTATTCCTTGCCCCCCCGTGTGCCCCCCTGCTAAGCGTAGCAGATCGTTGTGGCGTCGTGGGACCTGGAGACCTGTTCACCTGCTGCTTGTGCGGTGTGGCCAGTCAGAGCGGAGGAGGGAGAGACCATTTTCTCAGGGGGGGGAATCGCCCAGTTCCCCTTCCCTCGAGAAAATAGTCTCTCCCTCCGCCACTCTGACTGGCCGCACCGCACAAGCAGCAGGTGAAGAGGTCCCACAACGTCACTTGTATCCGCCCCGATGCCGTCTCCACGGCACACAGCCGCGGAATTTAAAGTATGTCCTGTGCCTCTTGTCAGCTACCAAGGCACACCGCTCTCCATCCTGAAGAAGAAAAAAAAATTGCTACTTACCTCACCGCTCCCCATCCTGAGTTCCACGCTGGAAGGCTGCATTCTTCATTACTTTGGACATTACACTGACATGCTGATCCCCCCACACCTTTGTGTGTGGAATTAGAAGTCTGCTAACTGCAAGTATACCTTTTAAGTTGACAAAGTTAACCCTTCACTGACATTGCTGGGATTGTTATTAATTTGTAAATGTTAAAAGTACTGTTGATATTGGAGTTTGATTTAAAGGAGAACTATGGGGTTAAGGCTTTTCCCCATAGTTCTCCTTAGGGTCCTAGCGTCCTCCCATCTCTCCTCTCCTCCCTGTGAGCTTCCTGACTCGCCGCTGCTCGCCGACAATCAAGGGCCCACGATTCAAAGTAAGTCACTCAGCAACGACATTCTAAACCTTTTTAATGTTTCCTGGTTTGTTTTTTTTTAAAAGCGGCACACTGCAGAATACCAGCAATACAGCAATGCAAAATAACACCATCTATAGAGGACTACAACAAATCCCAGCAATAATACATTATACAGCGCATATGTATTGCGCCGCTGTATAATGTACTATATTGCACACCACACTTTTTTTTTTTACTTCCACCGCTCCAAGCTTGCTCCCGTGATTGACTACAATCTCAATACAAACTAGTAGTCCATCAATGGAGCCTTTTAAAAAAAATCTGATTAATCGAACGTAATAATCGGCTAACTAATCGATTTTGGAAATAATCGTTAGCTGCAGCCCTAGCGTGATCGGCGTGTGGCTGTGGAAAACGCTCCAAGAGACACTTGCTTAACCTTTGATTTCTAAATGCACCCCAAATGCGGCCAGCAAGTCGTGAGGTTTTCTGCTGCGTTTCCATGCATGCAAAAGCAGCAGAAAAATGCATCCCGCACATCGCACAAAATAGTGGAAGAGCCATTTTGCTGTGTTTGCTACGCAGATATCTTTGTAATATCCCCTTCGCACACCGTACCGATGTACCCCAAAATCCAGTAATGTGCAATGTGGATGGCAGACCCATTTTAATGACAGTGATGTGCCACATGTTGGCAGAGATTCCATTGCTGCACACAAAATGTCAGGATGTGTAGAAAAAAGGACAAACAACTGCAATGTAATGTATTATTACAATTACAATAAAGCAACACCTTTATTTTCTGGTAGTACCCCTCCCGACATTAGACTCTGGATCCGCCCCTGCCCGCTAAATTAGGCTGCCACTCCGGGATTCGAATCCTGTATACCGCAACCGCTGAGAGCTGATGGCATCGGAACCTGGTGGTTGCGGTATTCAGGATTGTGGGCTGCGTTGGACATGTTGCAACCATCGGGAGCCAATGCCACGCGCTATTAAATCATCTCCCGGCGGTTGCAACATGTAATCCGACGCCGCCCACAATCTCCCTCTTCGTCTTCTCCATGGTGTTGAGAGGAAATTGCATCACTCCCAGCACTCTATGGTAGATAGCCGCATAGGAGGGAGACATCCAACCATGCACTTCTGGCCCTGAGTCTAACCCATCTGTCTACATACACATAACTTTTTAATTATTGTAATATATATGTAATCTTATTTATATATACTTATTTAGTTTTTTCAGTGGTATGATTTAGTGGTGAAAATTATTAGTGCCCCCCCAGTTTTGACTGTGGTATCTTATGTGCCCCCCCTATATATTGTTCCTAGAGTTGCCACTGTGCGTGAGTGACAGCTGGCTCTGCCTATCTAGAGGCAGAGCCAGCTGTACCCGCCCCCTCCCCTGTCCGATCCGCCAGTCAGCGCTGGCAGATCGGAGCGGGTAGGGGGGAATCCAGCCCCTCCCCTGTCACGGCAGAGAGCTGTGACAGGATTGAGAGCTGAGCGAACGCCGGTATGTGTTCGCTCACCTCCTGATCTACTGAGCCGACCTGTGACAGTCTCATTGTCACAGGTCGGCTAGAACTATGAGGTGAGTTCTCCTTTAAGCATGCAATGTTAGAGTAAGCGATCACTGGGGAAAGGGAGACCCTCCTGCCTGCAGCAGACTCAGATGATGTAATTCTTCCATTATACTTTTCTGAGGCAGACCTTAACAGACACAACACAGCTCCAACACTTGACTGGAACTCATGGACTGATGTTGCATGATAAAAAATAGAGCTATTTAAAACATTATACCGTTGCTGTATATTTTGACAAGTGCAGAATTTGTTCATTCACAATCATAAAGTTACTTTCGCAATGCTTTAACAATTACCTTCCAACCGCCCGACATGGCAAAATTATTTTCATTCTGTTTTTTTTTTGAGAACACATTTTGCTTGATAGATTGTTTTAATAAGGACTCTACATGTATTTTTCATTACAAGCGCACAAAATGAAAAAAGAAAGCACTTTTAGATGATTTAATACCTGACATATTTTTTATAACACTATTTTAAATATTTTCTCTACAATATTTTTACTATGAATCCTGATGATTCCAAATGTGTGTATACAGTGTGTTCTTTGTAAATGTCATACTGGTATAGGGCTAATAAATAACCTTTTATAAAACCGGTGCTTTTTATGTTTTTTTTTCTATTGATGAACAAGATGAACAAAAAAAATAAAACTGGCATTCTTTTCCACAAAGGTGTCTGTTTAGTGGTCATTTTATTTACCCTCACAAATGTTTTAAATGCAATGCTTTGAACATGCATGACAATGCTCAGTAATAAAGAGAGTGTAAACCTTAATTTTCAGCCTTTTTATAATCATGTTTCATTGTATACAGTTTTCTTAAAGTGACACTAAACTCAGGAGTTAAATCTTACAAATGCATTCAAGTACTTTAACTGTTACCGAAAATGTATCTTATTTGTGTATCACTCGGCTGTAGATCCTCAAATCATCTCTGAATTGGTGCTGACACTGTCCTTCCTTCTGGAGGGTGGCTACTTTTGTTCCCCATGGTCCCTGTGTGTGTTGTAAAGTAGTCACCGCTCCAAGCTTGTTCTCGGCACCAGTTCAGAGATGATTTGAGGACCACCCCCTAATAGCCCCTCTCTTTTCATCAAATGTATTCTCGAGCAGCGGTGGTTATAAAGTGCGTATTGGTGCGGTTTCCTGGTAATGAAGGATGCCTGAGACTGTAAAACATTACTGCGCAAGCAAGCAGTCTCTAACTGCGCGGGGACGTCCTGCCCTCACCACGCCATCACCATGCTGTGACTATATATAAGGGGTTAGTGAAGTTATCTTATACCATTGCTGTATGTGTGTTCTGTGTGTGCTCACTATATAAAAGCCGGAGTTGCATGTTTGTGGTTGTCACTATGTCACCCTGAGGAAGGGACCCTGCGTGGTCCTTAAACTTTGGCTGTATGACACTTGTGAAAATTCAATAAAAGTGCTTATACTTCTCACACATATCATTGGGTGCTGGTGACTTCTATTATGGATACACAAATAAGATACATTTTTGGTAATAGGGTACGTAAATGCATTGTTAAGATTTAACTCCTGAGTTTAGTGTCACTTTAAACAAATAGTTTTTTTAATAATCTGTTTAAAGTTTCTTACCTGGCCACTTCTGACAACACTAAGCCACTGCCTCACAATTAGCAGCATTGTCACCCTTCTTTAGTAAAGCCGGCCATACAACAGTAGATTTTCGTACGAACATTTATACAAAACATCTGTTCAGAAAACTTGATAATTCCACCAGAGACTTGGTTGATTTTAAAGTGGAAGTAAAGGAACATTAAAAAATTCCTGATTGGTTGGCTTTTTATGCCAAAAAAAGACTTTGTAAGCCTCCTCTGCCATAAAAGCTTCTTTCTGCCATTCGGCATGCACAGCTCAGCTCAGCACACAGACCCGGAAAGCTGAGATGAAATAACTCCCATGCACATGCACGGAAGTTATATCGTTGCGGCCCAACCAATCAAGAAGCGCAAGACTGGAAACCCTGAAGAAGGCTGGGATGAAGATGGAAGTGCTGGTGAGGGAGGAGCACAGTGCTGGAGGGGATCGCTTTGACAGGTAAGTCTGCCATAATATGCTGTGCATACTAGCACATTATGTCTTAAAGCGCCTGGCTTTCTCTTTTTTCTTAAGCCACTTTACTTCAACTTTAACATTCGATTCTAAAATGAATGGAATTTTTTCCGAACGAAAACCACATTCACTGTTAGAATTGTGTTTCATTCAAGAAAAAATTTCTATCTCGCTTTTTCCGACTTTGTTCATAACTGCAAATAACGGTTGTTGATTTGACCCCAATAGAAAATTAAACGAATGTTCCTGAATTTTTTATAAACAAAATTCTACTGGTATATGGCAAGCTTTGGGCCATGGGCTGCCTGTCTGATAGACCCAATAGGCAGCCCAACAACCAACTAAAGGTATGTGCATAGCAGGCCGACAACTCTGCTGCTCAGTGTGAGGCAGTGGCCTATAATCAGCCTACAAGAGGAAGTGCTGAAACTGTGTAATATATTTACAAAAATAATTTGCTGGAAAAAAAAAAGAAGACATTATGCCAAAAATAATGAAAAATATTTTATTTTGGCTTTGCATTCACTTTAAAATTCCACATTATTATCAAGCATATTGTCGATTGCAAATACCAATAATAAATAAAATAAAAGACATCTGCTGCCATTTACATAATCAACGATGGGAAAGCAAATATCAAAAATGGTAAAAGTTCCAAAAGGACAAGGGCAGGCAATGCATAGAGAAGGGACAAGTCTTATCTGCCAATAGCATGCGAATCTGCGACAGAGCAGCTAACGTGGCTAAGCTTACCGTAAACAAAAACAGCAATTTAATTACCCTACGCAGTAAATAAATTATGTATTTAATCATTCGGTGTGTTCCATCTGCACTCCCCTTAATAAAATCCAATCTAACGTAATTTGTTTCTGATTCATCTGCCTGTAATCTTTATTAGCTCTCCTATTTGGGTTTTAATTTGATGTCTCTGCTACATTATAAAAATATACTGTATATTTAATTTGGTTTACTCGAGCTAACAACACCCTCGTCATTAAAGCAAACGGATGGTGTGAATGCTGAGTACTATAGCGTTACGATCTGATCCGGTGGCAATATGGCAGTGAGATTTTGATGGTTTCAGTTGCTGAATTGCTTAACATTTGGTTAATTATAATCATGCAAAATGCCTAAAGCTAGCGTTATAAAGAGAGTATTAAATGTTTCCTTATGGTGAATAGTATAGAAGATAATACACTATATGGCCAAAAGCCTGTGGACATGTGACCATCTCACCTATATGAGCTTGAACATCCCATTCCTAAACCATGGGAATGAACATCGATTTGGCTCTCTCTTTGCAGCTATAACATCCTCCACTCTTCTGGGAAGGTTTTCTATAACATTTGGCAGTGTGGTTGGTGTGTGGAGGCTTGAGGTCGGTGTTCTGTGAAGGCCATTTGAGATCTTCCACACAGAACTCATCCCACCTAGTTTTTTATCAAGATGGCTTTGTATACAGGAGCACAGTGATGCTAGAACAGAAAAGGGCCTTCACCAAACTGTTTGCCAAGGTTGGAAGAGCACAACGGTCCATAATAGTACCTTTTACCAGAAACACTTGAACTCAATTATTTGAAGCATTGTATTCACATATTTTTGGCCATATAGTGTAAAAAGTTCATAATTTAAAATGAAAGTTCACTCTAAAATTACTCAAGGAACATTGAACAGCCATATAACACACCTTGATAAATGCACAGCAGCATGTTTGAATTATGTCTGCACTCCAGTTGTCCAGCAAAGCAGCACTGGAAGGTGCCGGCCATTTACCTTTGCAACTCACGGTGTCTCTCGGCCCCCTGCCTATCTACATCCTTCATAGCATCGGGGTATTGGAGTAGCATTTCCCAGTTAGGGTTTGCAGTCCACAAGCATGGAGAAGATGAGTGACACCATAAGTTGCACGGTGTCGCTGGTAATAGCCAGCAGTTTTTACTGCTGATTGCTGGACAACCAGAGTGCAGAATGACCTATGTTTGCCCTATGGAATATGATAACTTACCCAATATTTGGCTCAAAGAAGCATCGCTTGGATTGGTCCTATATGATGGAATAGCACTTCTTGATTGGATGTCTGCTATAGTTTCCTTCTGTTCGGCTCATCACAAGGGTGATCGAAGTATATTGCAGCTGAACATTTCTGAAACACCTTGTGCATCACTGTGAAGAGCCGGGTTCCCCTGTAAGACAAAAGTCAAAATGGTAAGTGTTATATTAGTTCATACCCAACTAGAACAGTGTACAATGGGAGAGACAATTGCTAGGTATACACATATAAGGTTTGCTGCTGACTTTCCAGATGCTGTTTTTCTATGTTCCTCTCTGTTAAGAGCTGAACTGTAGGCAGATATGAAAGACTCAAATTAATGCAGCTCTGTATTAATGAATACAGCCTTTCTCAACCAAGGTGCCATGGGGTGGCTTGACATTTTCACACAGCATCTGTGTCTGATGTCAAGGCAGCTGCTGAGGTGAAAGAGGGGGACTCTGATGTCAAAGAGTGGGGCTCTGATGTCAAAGAGTGGGGCTCTGATGTCAAAGAGAGGGACTCTGATGTCAAAGAGGGGGGTTTTGGTGTCAAATAATGGGGCTTTGATGTCAAAGAGGGGGCTCTGATGTGAAAAAGGGAGACTCTGATGTGAAGGGGGGCTCCTAGTATGAGAGGGGGTGACTGATGTGAAAGGAAGGCTGATGATGTAAAGGGGGGAACCCCACTTGCATGTGGTCCCCCCTTACAATCCATACCGGACCCCTATCTTGGATAAGGGTGTGATATGGATTTTTAAGACAAAACATGTTGTCTACATTTTTACATTTATGGTTAATACTTTTTAGACTGGGGTGCCTTGAGATTTTGCTTACTTTTAAAGGCTGCCGTAGCTGAAAAAGGTTGAGAAACGGTGAATTAATACATGTAGGTTTTAAATAGGGATGCACTGATACCGAGTGTTTGTGCGAGTACTCACACTCGCCCAAATACTCCCGATGCTTACTCCGATACCAGAACTTCCAGGATCAGGTAGCAGGGCAGTGAGTCATTACACGCCGCCGGCTTCCTGATTGACCGGGAAGCCGACTCCATGCATTCTTGTCACCAGGGAGCATGGAGCCGGCTTCCCAGACAATCTGGAAACTTGGGGTCGGGTAATGACTCGCCCCCCCCCCGGCTTTCTGATTGGCCAGGAAGCCAGCTCCATGCTCCCTTGTCACGTCGTGACGAGAGACTCTTGGGATATGTGATGTGAACATCCCAAGAGGCCCCAGAAGCACAGGATGTAATTTTTGCGAGAATGGAGGACAGGATGGCCGGCTGGAATGTGAACATAAAAATTCTGAGATATTGGTCCCTAGTCCACGACCTAGTGCAGTGCACATTGGGTATCTCTTTTCCGCTTACCCCATCGGCAATGTTGTTTTGGTTTTTAACATCGGATACAACTTTGGCACTGGGAGTCGTTATCTAAGTAATGTCTATGTGTAAGCGGGGGGCATGGGTAGGTGTGTGTTGCTGAATGTGTGTGTGTAAGTGCAAAGGTGTGGTTGTTGTTTGTTTTTTTGTTCCTTTCAACCTGCGTGTTGCGGTTGTTGGGGTTTGGTGAACCCCATTTTATTTTTATTGAAAGGTTTTTTTTTTTAAATGCAGCATAAACACCTTTTAAAAAAATAATGTTGATGAAACAGGAAATAGTTTTTGCCATTAGGACGTGCAGTCGTGTAAGCAGAAAATAAATATGAAAGCCATGAACAAAAACCTCCTGCTTTCCCCTTTAAATTCAGCATCTTTGCAGCAGATGTGGGATCAAAAATGTATCGCTTTGCTTTCATTCAATTATCAGCTCTTTCCGAATCTTAATAGAACGTATTTTGAAGAAACAGTTTTGTTGACTCTTGAGAGGTGTCAAACTGCAGCGCCAACACTGAGACATACTCGGCTAAGTCAGCAGTGTGAACGGGACCTAATTGAGTCGCTGTAAAACCGGGAGATAGTCAGGAATAATGGACGCCTCAGGGGCAATTATAGAAGTTAATGTGTTGAGGTTTTTTTTTCCCTCATTGGCAAATAAAGCGCTTCCTCGTACTTGTTTTAAAAGTCTTCCCATGTCGTGTCAGCGCTCGGGTGATAGATACTCCTGCATCTGATTCTAATCTACCTGCATTAAAACAGAAATTCACGCTCGCTAAGGATAAAAGGGAAACATTTGTTATTCAGCAATTCGCGATCAGCAGATTAAAATGCTGAATAGAAGTTCTGCCATATATTAGTAGTTAATAAATGCTGCAACCATAGTAGATAGGGGACAGCTTTAGGGGTGAAAATTAGGAATGAGCCAATCTGCCTGCATTGTGTTGCTTGATGTTTGCAGCAAACCCCATTGAAGTCTATGGGGGTGAATCTTGGTTGTCAATTCTGCCCATTTGTAGAGTTAATAAATTGGGTACCGAACACAGTCCGAATGAGAGCTTATCTGGACATGTTAGCTAAATGGGCCTCCCACTCAATTAACTCAACTATAGAGATGAGCTCAGGTTTGGACAGAACCTGTTCCATACCTGAGCTCCTGTGAACCCAGAAAAGCCCTAGGGCCACCTGCCCAGTCAGCTGTGGGCCTGGGTATTCCCCACCCAGCAGATTACCATAAATAAAGGGGCGTTATGCTTGTGCTGACATCATTGACCTTGTATGGTCACATGCCCATATTAGGTCAATGACATGTACCTAGGATAGCCATGTAGCCCTATAAGGCCAATTATTTCACTGCACCCCGCCCCCTTGCTTATGTCAAGTTGCTGGCGGCACGGAAGGAGCTTCCTCCTATGTTCAGGAGAAGCTTCTTCAGGGTTCAGAGGAGCTCAGGTTTGGTCCGATCCTGAGCTCATCCCTACTAATAAACAAGCAAAAGGGATGCAAAGCCGGGCACTGCCATGGTACACCAATTTTCCCAATTCAAAATAAAAACAAATTAAAAATGACTTTTCCCTACACAGAATAGGTCAGCTCTCCCTAACAGATCCCACCTATACTGACAATATGGCTGCTGTGAGCCCACCCATTCATAGAATGGGGATGGATTCTTCATGTCTTCAGATTATTGCCTCACCTGACCAGGGGCAAAAGTTATGCTCTGGATCATGAGTTGCTCTTTATTTCTGGCAGGGAACCTGCAGTTTTTGGCCAACGGGTTGCAGTTCCTGAATCCCAGGGATTAGCCGCAAACTTATTGCAGCAGAAGTTGTAGCACACCATGTGCATTGTGTTACTCTGTCTAGCAGCTCAAGAGACCTCATTTTTCTCTGCTTACGGGTCTGTGAGTGGATGGTAACAGAAGAAGCACCACACTGATGTACTCATCTCTCTGACACTCTGCTGTATCTTCCTATCACAATGCTCTCCCACCATTCTCAGCTCTGCTGCACCTACTGCTGATATCAGAACAAATCTAGATACTTATAGAAAGGGTTCAACGTTATCCATTCCTTTGAGCTGTTGTATAAACTGAGCAAGGGCAAATCATATGCCCTGCTTTATGGGTTGTTCTTTATTTTTGTTGGCAAACCTGCATTTTCGGGCAAATGTTTGCAACTTATGTGAACCCCAAGGATTCAGTACACACTTATTTGGAATGCCACCCCAAAGTCCTAATACAACACATCAACATTGTAGCACAGCACAACACACATTAACATTCATACACATACACATTAAGGTACACTACAGGGGAAGAAAAAGTGCAGATCCAATGTTGGCTGTGTTGTGGTGCGTTGGCCTATTTGCACTGGGCCGCCTTAACCGAGCACATGTTAACACTCAATACAACATCTTCATTAATTTCATTAAAATATTCACTCATGAAGTCAATTTAAGTGAGCAGCTGTAAGGAGGAACGCCCAGTTTTCTAAGAGTAATCGAGCGCAGAAGTCTCTATAGATAATTTACAACATCTTCATTAAAGGCGAACTATGAGATGAGTGAAAATCACTCAGCCTCATAGTTCGAGCCGACCTGTGACAATGAAACTGTCACACGTCAGCTCAATAGATCGGGAAGTGAGCGAACACATACCGTCGCTCGCTCACTTCTCGATTCTGTCCCTGCAGAGAGCCATGACTGTCACTCACGGCTCCCTGAAGGGATTCCCCCTCCCCTGTCCGATCCTCCAGCGCTGACTGGCGGAACGGACGGGGGAGGGGCGGGTACAGCTGATTCTGCCTCTAGATAGGCAGAGCCATCTGTCAATCCCGCAGCTGGGTGGATCGCAACAGTAATCTGTCCCGGCTGCGGCGGTCTCAGTATAACGCGTGCACAGTTTACCGTGGATGCTAGTTTGTGTCCTCCTGTGACCCTGGGGAGAACTATGGGGAAAAGCACTGACCTCCTTGTTCTCCTTTAATGCCCAACAAGTGAATGGTACAAGTTTGTTTTTATATTATATAATTGGGGTAGAAGATGGTACAGAGATCGTACAATCAGATTGTATAGTTGCTGATCACCCCGGGTGCCCTAAATCTTGGGTATAATTAACAGCTTACACAATACACAATGTCACACCAGTTTTTTGGGGGGCCATGTTCAGCGTGATATACAATGATATACAAGGTGAAATACCACCCCAGGCTGCAGACACCACACGCTAACGATATGGATGGCGTGTGTGTCTGCGGCAGGTAGATTGGGAGGAGGGGAGACTTTGGGAGGTTGGAGAGAGTCAAGTTGACTCGGGATATCTGAGGAGCTCAAGCATCTTAAGAGATGCGCCCTTTCGCCCCCAGGCCACTTCTGCCTCTACCTGTCTCCTGTTTGAATGGAGGGACTCCCCCTGCTCGTCATCAGAAATTTCTGATATATGGCCAGCCCTATAAACTTCTTGATAAAGCTACGGCAAAATGTGTCGAAGAATGGACCATTACAGATTTGTCAGAGGAAACATGGAATATTATGAAATATGTGATGATATATTTGACGTATCAATTAACTATGACATTATTATAATTTACTCAATGTTAAGAATATCAATTATTGCCTCTGTGCACAATACAAATCTGTACGGGATCCCAGAGGTGTTATGCCATGTATATATGCAATGTGGTCTTGTCTCAAATGGTTGTTATGTTTTATGGATGTTATGTTTTATGGATTAACTTTTTGCTAGCCAGGAGA